ATATTTTTAATTTCAAAGTAAATGAATATTTGCATTTTAGGACTAAAAAATGATTAATGCACTTTAAGCAATGTCAATTCTAATACATAATTTACTTATTTTACACTATTATTTATTATCCAATATAAAATTAAACAAATAAAAAAATAATTATAATTAACAAAAGAAATGTACATTTAAAATATATATTTTTGGAGGGCTAAAGACTTCATATTTTTAATTATAGAGAAAAATAATTAGTTCTATAGAAGAACATAAAAAGGAAGATAATTTACAATATTTTTAGTGATATCATGAATTTTGAGTGAAAAAAAGTTAGAAGCTTAACTCATTTGGTTAATCCATATTTTACCCATATTTTTATGAGTTGAATATGGGTATCAATCCATATTTTATCCTTGTACCCATTAAAATATGGATGAATTGGGCGGGTTACCAAAATATGGCCTCATTTTGCCAGCACTAGTTGGGACAAGTATTTTTAGAAAGGTGATCAGTTCATATGGGACAGAGGGAGTATAAAATTACAAAAAAGGGATATTCTACTGGTTACCATGAAAGAAGCGTCATGGTGGTACAATGTTGGAGAGTCTAAACTCGAAATAATTTTCTTAGGAGAATATGATGATGAATACACACCTGGAGAATACTGTGGTTTCTTCTTAACTGGATTCATCGGTATTATAAATGGATTCTCTAATGAAATTATAGCTAAATCTTTTCACATGAACAAATGTCCGAGAAATGGATATACACAAATCTGCCATTCTATTACTTTTGTATTGAATAAAAATATTACTTTTGATTTACTCGATCAACTCAGAGTATCCTTTTTTTTTTAAAACAGATTTAAATGAATTCGTTAGTTTCATAAGCCAACTTCAATAATATATTTGACCTATACTAAAATGTTGACTTCTTTATAATGAGTTTAGTTTAGATAAAAGGTCATTTTTGGGCAAATAGAGGTACCACATTACTTTTACTTTACTTATGACCATATTATATTATATAGATATAGATATAGATATATTAACAATGTAAAAATGTGAAATGTGTCTCAATTATTAATGCTTATCGATCATAAAAATGTGAAATATGTCTCAAGGACACTAATTTAACAAGATGTAACCATGAACTAACCACCAAATTCATTTCCTTTTTATTCTTAAGATGAAGAAGACATTCATATAACATACACATACTGGCACACAGCAGCATATAAGCTTGCGCGCATTCAGAAAAAGCTAAAACAAAAGCTGCTTACATTTAGAGTCGTCACTAAGGGCTAAGCCCGTTAGGCCGGCCTGACCGAACTCATGATTTAACAGAGCTGGGCTAGCTATGACAACTCTAACAGAAGTAGAATAGTGTAGATCTACTTCATCATCCATTTTATTTTCAAGCATGAAATTATTATACTTGTTAAACATAGGTATACATCTCAAATGTCTAACAAGTAACTATTACTTAAATAGTTGAAGGTGGGGCAATCACTGCACCCTTAGCAATCTTGGATTTGAAGTGCTCAGTCAAATCTGGAGTCATATTTAGAGAGGCCTCTAAAACTGATGGAGATATTGCTTCCCAAATTGATTTTTTCCCACCTGATAATTCTCCATATACTTGCCTGCAAATATATATATACATTATATTTTAAATGAACTATAGCATCAATTATCGTAAATAATAGTACTTACTTTGATGACGTTATGACGGAGAAGAACTCCATTCCTCCTTCATCAGCTTCTACAACAAATGGAAAGAATTTGGAACAAAAAACAACCCACCTTCTTCCACTTTAGTATCCAACACAACCTTACGTAAAGGTCCCACAATTTGAACACGTCCACTTCCTTTCGTAACATAACTCAATTGAACGGATAAATCCGCTGTAAAAATGGGACCAAATAAAGCACCACTTTCCAAAACTACGTGATTCGCGCTTAATCCAACGTCTCCTAGCAATGGTAAATTCCTACAAGTTACCGCAGATAAGACTCCACCATTTTTTACCTCAACACAAGGTTTAGCACTATCCAAGTTAAAAACCAACTTGTGTTTCACTTTGTTGCATGGGTGTGGCATTTTTGTGCCTTCATTGATCTTAATTAAAAGATTAGTTTTACTTTGGTCTTTTATAAGTTTTTCAGATTCAGTTTTGGTCATGTGAAAAGATTTAGCTATGAATTCATTAGAGAATCCATTTAGAGTGCCGATGAATCCAGCTAAGCAGAAACCGCAGTATTCTCCAGGTGTGTATTCGTCATCATATTCTCCTAAGAAAATTATTTTGAATTCAGAGTCGCCATCATTGTACCACCATGACACTGTTTTCAAGGTAAGTGGTAGGGCATCCCCTTTTTGTAATTTTATAACTTCTTCTTTTGAATCTTCCGGTGATATCAATCCAACAATGCATTCACCTGTAAAAATTATACTAATTAATAAGAAAGGATTGTCCAAGACGATATAATTAAGTGTGACTCCAATAACTACTATGTATGTCGAGATAATATCTCAAATAGTCATACGTACCTTCACAAACATAACCAATTTTTGAGGAAACAGAATAGTAAGGTTGAGAAAAACCATGAGGGTGCAGAAGTAATAATCCAGCAGCAAGTTTTTTTTGGCTAAGAAGAGGAAATTGACTATTTGACCAACCGTAATATCCACCAACTCCTTCAACTTCCATCATTGTTTTATCTGCTTTTTTCGATGCCAATATTAAATCCATCGTCCCAAATTACACAAACTCCAACTATATTTTACCAATAAAACACTTTCAAGGTGAATATATATATATATATATATTGTTCAATGCTCATATATTCTTCAGAGGCTGACTCGTTCTATTTATAGAGACAACAGACCACTACTTTGAAATATAACAATTAATATTAGTCCGTTAAAAGATATTCTTTTTGTTTCTAATTACTTGTTCACTTTTGAATTGACACACCTATTAAGAAAAAATAAGTGACATAGTGAATTTATCATTTTACCCCTACTAATTATAAAGTACTAGATGAATTAAAACTTAAGATTTTCAAGCAGTTTTACCTTTTTCAAAGTAGTTAATTTAGAGTATAATAGGTAAAAAAAATTTGTCTTTTCTTAATTTGTCAAAATGGACAAGTAATTAGGGATAACTAAAAAAAAAGTGGACAAGTAATTAGGGACAGAGGGAGTACGTGGAATGTATCAAAATGCTCTTTAATTTTGTGATTTTAAACATGACAGTGGAAAGTTAGAATTAAAGACTTATCAAATTAAAAAAAAAAAGAAGACATAATACATAAATATGTCATTTAATTTTAGCTTCAACTAACATCTATACCATCCAATTTTGGATGTATTCAAATACACTTAAATTATATAAAGTCAAATAAATAGATACACATTCTACGTGGTAAATTAGAGTATAACAGTCTGTTTGGTAAATGTATTAATATAGATAGATCGATTATACATAATGAATTGAAATTAAAATTTTGTGATCATCTGATGTAAAGTTTAGGTTATTAGAGAAACAATGAATTGAAATCAAAATTTTGAACAACATTTTAGTGGCACTTTAATCCGCCTTTCACAAGAACAGAAGATTGATCTATTAGAGAATTCATTGACTACCATCTTGCATCACCTAAATCTATTAGAATTTTAATTGAGAAAAGGATTTGATATACTCTTTAACTTTGCGATTTAGAGCTGATGTATTCCTCATTAAAAAAGAGGCTCACATATATTTCTACTATTACACAAATAGTCCAAATATATCTTTTTCCGCTAACAAAAGTGAAATGTGATTTGATTTTTTAAAAATAAAATTGATATAAGGGTATATTTGATCCTTATCACAAAATTCATGGGATATTTGATCATTCTTACACATGAGTATTTTTTTACTCTTTTTTATTCAACGACTAATTTGAGTTTTAAATAGAGCAACTATAATTATCATCAGTAATTATAGTTTGCCTAATTACAGTTCATAGCTATAATTAAAGAGAGGAGAGAAGCACCGGGATTAGGAAAGAGCAAGAAGAAACGTTAGCAAGATTTGAGAGATAGAGAGGAGATATGATATACGTAAACAGGTTATATTTAGAGAGAGGAGAAAGTCGAGGGAGATTTGGGAGAAAGAAGAAAGATACTAAATATAGGTTGTATTCGACGTATAAATAAATAAAATCTTATACATACAAGTTAAAACACTAGTATTCATCCATTTCATACGCTCTTGTACGCTCATTTAGCATGATTATCAAGTTGAGGGATTAATGCACTGAATGGCTATAATTATTAACGAAGTATATATAATTCAGTTAAAATAAACATAACAGATCATAAATCATGGCTAAAGTTAGGAATGTGGAAAATTTGTAGCTCATTGTAGGGTGGCCATAGCCCACATTGATATAATGAGCACATAATTTGATTTACGAGGAGTTTGACTTTGATTAATCTCACGTTTGGCTATTATTATTTGAGGGATTAATTTGATTTATAGAGGAGTTTGACTTTTTGTTAATTTATTTCCATACAGAAGCAAGATCAACCTCGCTATTGGCAATTATTGGAGGGAATTGAGCCAACCTATAATATCACGTTCAAGAGGTTCAAAATCAATATATAGTCATAAAAATTCTTTAAAATAGGAATTCGGTGAACCCCCTAACTACCTCTAGGTCTGCCCCTGTTTGTAGCCCAAACAGATAAGCTTTTAAATACTCTTCTTTTTAATTAATTTAAAAAGAATGTCTTTCTTTTTTTGTCACTATTTAATTTGAACAAAATATTTTGATACGTTATGTGTATCTACCGGTAATAAACACACCATCAAATTGAAACGGGGAGTAAGTTATGTACATAACAGCCACCATTATCTCAATTATTGTGTTCATACTTCATTTTCTGATCAAAAAATTACATGGAAAAAAGAGATACCATCCAATTGGTGGCACCGTTTTCAATCTGCTTATCAACTTCCATAGAGTGCACCATTACATGACTGATCTTGCTGGCAAGTACAAGACTTACAGATTGAGTAGCCCTTTCAAGAATAGGATTTTTACTTCTGACCCTGCTAACGTCGAATACATTCTTAAAACAAACTTTGAAAACTATGGCAAGGTACACCATTTTGATCTTGACATCCCCAAATTATATGTTGTTATTTGATTGATTTAGTAATATTTACATTTGTTGTTAGAATGGTTTAGAGTCCACTTTGGTTACGGAATGAACTGGTGATCTACTTATATGTATATGGGCAATACTCTCATTGCAAGGTCAAGGTATATCAGTAAATTACGATGCCTCAACTCCTACATAAGTTGCAACCGGCTAGCTATATGGATGTCTCAATAGATGTAACAAAATGGTGTAACGATTTTCGGATTGCCAAACTTGAGTTTCCAAATTTTCTGCAGGGAGGGTATAATTACTACATCCTAAAGGACTTGTTAGGGGATGGAATTTTCACAGTTGATGGTGATAAGTGGCGGGAGCAGAGGAAGTTGTCAAGCCATGACTTCTCCACAAGGGTCTTGAGGGATTTTAGCAGTGTGGTATTCAGAAAAAATGCAGCAAAGTTTGCCCATATATTGACTGAAGCAGTCGAATCCAACATGATAGTAGACATTCAAGTAAGTCAATGAATCGAGTCGACTTCACAGAATGGTACCTTGTTTATTCTTACCAGATGTGTAATCCTAGTTTTATCAATGTAGGATCTATTCATGAAAGCATCTCTAGATTCTATATTCAGAGTTGCCTTTGGAGTTGAGCTAGACAGCATGTGTGGTTCAAATGAACAAGGCAAAAAATTTAGCGATGCATTTGATGATGCAAGTGCATTGATACTTCGGAGATATGTTGATATTTTATGGAAGATTAAAAGATCTCTCAATATCGGAACAGAAGCCAAGTTAAAGAAAAATATAACAACTGTCGATGTGTTTATTTATAAGTTGATCCAGAGAAAAACTGAGGAGATGAGTAAACCGGAAGCTGATTTATCTGTAAGCGAATCGCCTTATAGCTGCTACTTTTACTAATGCAGATAGATGCGTATATATAATAAAATGTTCTGCCAGTTGCAGTGGAAGAAAGAAGACATTTTGTCAAGGTTTCTGAAAATAACTGGTACAGATCCAAAGTATTTGCGTGATATAATATTAAACTTCATAATAGCAGGCAAAGATACAACAGCAACCACCCTTTCTTGGTTCATATATGTGCTTTGCAAGTACCCTCATGTACAGGAAAAAATAGCACAAGAGATTAAAGAATCAGTAACTCATGAGAAAGAAAATGCAACAGACGTAACGGATTTTGCTTCTAATGTGAGTGAAGATGCCCTTGAAAAGATGCAATATCTTCATGCAGCATTGACAGAGACTCTTAGGCTCTATCCTGCAGTTCCAGCGGTAATAAAGAACTTCTTTTATCATACAGCTGTGGCCAAATAGATGTATTCTTTAAGTTGTTACTTTTTGTTTTTCCTCTTAGTGCAGGATACAAAACTATGCTTTTCGGATGACACCTTACCAGATGGATTCAGTGTGAACAAAGGGGACACGGTGTCTTACTTACCATATGCAATGGGAAGAATGAAATTAATATGGGGTGATGATGCAGAAGAATATGAACCAGAGAGATGGCTTGATCGCGATGGTTTCTTCAGGCATGAGAACCCCTTCAAATTTACCGCTTTCCAGGTTGGTCAAATCTGTTATCAGTTTTATTGAAGCCTTGGACACGATTCTGTATAATTAGCCTAGTGCCTATATACTATCACATATTCACATTAACTATCTAGCTAAGCACATTCTTTTATTGATAAAACAGGCAGGGCCGAGGATCTGCTTGGGGAAGGAGTTTGCTTATAGACAGATGAAGATATTCTCTGCTGTGTTGTTACATTACTTTGTTTTCAAGTTGAGTGATAACAAGAAGGCTATAAACTACAGGACAATGATTAATCTTCACATTGATGGGGGATTGCATGTCCGTGTCTTTCGTAGATAGGGCAATTAGAAAGAGTTTACATAAATATGTAATAAAGTATATTAGCATCGGTCCAGTTCTGGCCGAATGTTGTTTATGACATCAACATCCTATCAAATAACATTAACCTGGCATGGAAATAAGGTTTTCTATCTATGGGATGTATCATTGTTACACATTCACATTTTCCTTGTTACCCCTTCCCTGACCACACCTTAGGAGAGGAGATGCTAAATCTTCTATTGGTGCCACAAGTCATTGCTTTAGTTGCCTTATAGTTAAGTTACGCCTATATATATGCTTCTTCTTTTTTTATCAAAGCAACACCATTTACTGTTATTAGTTGGCTTGAAATAGTGTCCATTTTATCTTTTCCCCCAATAATCATGTAGACTCTTTGAAGTAAAACGAACTGAAACAGAGTTAACACAAAATCTCCATTAACAAGGAGCTAAGATAGAAGAAGAGAAACTCTCATTGTTTGAGTTCAAAGACTAACTTTTACAATGCTGAAAAGTACTATTTATAGAATCTAACTTCTAATCAAACTAACTAACTAACTTGAAGAATTAGTTGTAACAAACAATATAAAAGGTCTATACTACCCTTGAGCATCTTGGTGAAATAACTAACTCCTTAACTACCTTACACTCATATCTCATCACTCCCCTTCAAGTTAGGTGGGGCAAAAAATATTTAAGACACCTAACTTGGATAAGAGATATTCGTGTTGATACTTTGATAGCCCTTTTGTCAATACATCTGCAGGCTGCTCTTGTGTAGGAAGGTAGTTAACTTTGATCAAACCTTGTTGTAATCTTTCCCTTATAAAATGACAATCGATTTCAATATGTTTTGTCCTCTCATGATATACCGGATTTGCAGCAATCTGTATGGCAGCTTTACTATCACTATACACTTGAACTGGTAGCTGCACGTCAACTTCTATTTCTCTAAGTAATCCAAGTAACCAAATTAACTCTGACACAGTGGAGGCAAGACTCCTATATTCAGCTTCAGCTGAGCTCTTGGAAACTATAGTCTGCTTCTTTGCCTTCCATGACACCAAAGAGTTCCCTACCTTAACCACATATCCTGTTACTGATCTTCTGGTAAGTGGACAAGATGCCCAATCTGCATCACAAAATGCAGTGACTACTTCATCAGAAGAGCTAGGAAACAATAACCCCTGCCCAGGCTGTTTTTTTCAAATATCTCACTACTCTTAAGGCTGCATCCATGTGAGATTTCTTTGGCTGTTGTAGGAACTGACTTAGGTTCTGTGTGCTGAAAGACAAGTCTGGTCTTGTCATGTTCAGATACAACAGTTTTCCAATTAATCTTTGATACATTGTCTGATCTACTAGAGGATCTTCAGGAGCTCCATGACTTTTCTCATGTTCATCATATAGTTTTGAGGTTAGTTTAACATTAACATCAATAGGAGTACCTGCAGGCTTAGCTGCTGACATCCCAACCTCAGCTATAAGTTCCAAAGCATACTTTCTTTGATGCATCAATATCCCTTCTGCTGACCTAGTGAACTCAATGCCCAGAAAATATTTCAATTCACCTAAGTCCTTCATTTTAAAAGCCTGCTGCAATTCCAGTTTTGTCTTCTCTATTAACTTCAAGCTGCTGCCAGTAATCATCATATCATCCACATATACTAACACCACAACAATGCCTGCTTCTGATTTATTGACAAATAAGGAATGATCATATTGACTTTGTTTGAAGTTAAGAGTAGTAAGAGCTTCAGTCAGCTTATGGTTCCACTGCCTTGGAGCCTGTTTGAGCCCATATAATGACTTTGTTAGTCTGCATACTTTCTCCCCTTGACTAACAAAGCCTTGAGGGAGCTTCATATAAATCTCATCATCAAGATCACCCTGCAAGAAGGCATTGAACACATCCATTTGATGAATGTGCCAATGTCTTGAAGCAGCTAAAGACACCACTGTCCTCACAGTCACCATCTTCACAACAGGGGAAAAAGTTTCTTGATAGTCGATACCTTCCAGTTGACTATATCCCTTAGCAACTAGCCTTGCTTTAAACCTTTCTATCTCTCCTGTGGACTTGTATTTAATCTTGTAAACCCACCGACAACCAATAGGTTTCTTTCCTGGTGGTAGCTCAGTTATCTCCCAAGTCTTATTATCTTCAAGGGCTTGAATCTCAGTTTGCATAGCATCTACCCACCTAGTGTCTGTCACAGCCTCTGAATAGGTGGTAGGTTCTCTAACTGAGGATGTAGCAGCAATGTATGATTGATAAGTAGGAGAAAGATGACCATAACTGATATAATTGCACACAGGATACTGCACTTTGGAATGCAATTTGGAGGAAACAAAATCTTTGAGCCATGTAGGAGTATTTTTAGTTCTGGTAGATCTTCTGGGATCAGCTGGTATAACAGCATCTGTGACTGCTGGAACTGGTTCCCCAACTGAATCAGAAACATCTGAAGAAACAATCTCAACATCTGGTAGCACAGATGAGCCTTCAAGACAAGATAGTTCATCATTGATAGAACTAGGTGTTTGGAAAAATTGAGTAGTGGAGGTATCAAATAGAGCAGCTGAATCTGACAGTGGATTTGGAAACAAGGAATGTTTTTCAGACATCTTGATCTGTGAGAAAGGGAATATATCTTCTCTAAATATAACATCTCTGCTAACAAAGAATGATTTAGCAGTAAGATCAAATAAAACATAACCTTTTTGTGTCTCTGAATACCCCATATGAACTGCAGACTTAGATCTGGGCATCATTTTGTCATGTTCAACTAGATTTTTGGAAAGACACAGACATCCAATAGTTCTCAAGTGTGTCAATCTAGGTTTACTTCCATATAATCTTTCATAGGGACTTTGATAATTCAGAACACTACTAGGAACTCTATTAATGAGATATGCTGCAGCTAGAACACAATGCCCCCAATACTTCAATGGAATTTTACCCTGAAACCTCAATGCCCTTGTCACTTCTAGTAAGTGTCTATGTTTCCTCTCAGCTACCCCATTTTGCTGAGGGGTATAAGAACAAGACCTTTGATGAATAATACCCAACTCTTGAAACATTGTAGTACAAACTGAGTTTACAAACTCAGTACCATTGTCAGATCTGATCACCTTGACTTGTGTAGCAAATTGATTCTTAACATACTGCAAAAAAATCTTTAATGCTACACATACATCAAACTTGTGTTTAAGTAAGAAGAGCCAAGTCATTCTGGAAAAATCATCAACAATGGTAAGAAAGTACTTATTGCCATCAAATGTAGCTGTATTGTATGGACCCCAAAGATCAACATGAATCAAATCAAAGCTAGTACAACTTTTGATACTACTAGATGGAAAAGGAAGTCGAGTCTGTTTTGCATAGGGACATACTAAACATTTGGAAACTTTACACATACTATTGATATTCAAATCAAACATCTTAGCTAGTACTACAGATGACACATGTCCAAGCCTTTGATGCCACAATTCCATATCAGATGGGACTTGTGCTACTGTCAATGCAGTATTCTTTTCATCACCTCCAGAACTTTGTGTATACAGACACCCTGCTTCTTTACCAACCACTCTCACCTTCCCATTGTAAAGCTCCTGAAGAACACAGAAGTTAGGGAAGAATGTAACTGAACAATCAAGTTCCTTTGTTAACTTACTCACAGACATCAAGTTATACTTGAATTCAGGTAAGTAAAATACATTTGAGATAACACTCCTGTCTGTTAAGGCACAAGAACCAACATGAGTAACCTGAGTAGTACCCCCATTAGGCAGATGTACAATTTTAGGAATCTGTAATTTTGACACAGAACCTTTTATAAACATGTCCATCTGAGAAACCATATGGTTTGTTGCACCAGAGTCTACAATCCATACTGCATTAGTCTCAGAAACAAACAAGGATTTACCTGCAGTGTGAGCAGCAAAAGTAGTATTGCTCTCAGATGTTGCAGGGCCTTGGTTTTGTGTGAGACCTCTAAGAATATGGTCATATTGTTCCTTTGTGAATGTACAACCCTTCAGTAATCGTTTCACATCTATTTCTGCTTGACTTGCTGCTTTAGAAATGCTATTACCATCCACTCTTCCATGCTCA